TGACTCCCGACTTCGCGGACATGCTGGGCGTTGCCAAGGAAGCCCAGTCGCCAGAAGCCGCAAAGCAAGCGTGGCTCGATGCATTTCCTGGTGAGAACCCTCCGCAAGTTCCCCCGACCCAAGAATACTGCACAGATTTCATCCCCTCTGCGCACGGCTACCCCGTCCGCTTGTAGTCGGCTTCGCTTCCGCCGGGGCCCTGCCCAACCCACTGGATACATGCCAGAGTGGCGCGTTGCAAGCAGATCCTTCCCTGTGCCAGATGCATTTGCTCTCGGGCCAGCTGTGAGAAGAGTCACGGACTACTTCTCTGACCCGCATATGACCTTGCAGTTCACAGAGGATGCAGCCCAGTGGCACATGTTATTTCAGGGCGGCCTCAACGTGCAGAGCCATGTTGCCCGTGAAAGGGGAGACACTCTGTCTGTGGCTCGGATGGGAGCTGCTCTTGGCAGATCGGCGTTCTGTCCGGGTGCCTACTGGTCTATGAAATCTTTGCCGGTATCTATATTCAGACCAGCAACTACAAGAGAAGTCTTTGCAGATCACTGCAGACCATCTCAAGAGGTCCTTTGAATTGCTGAAGCTAGCCGGGCCCTCAGATTTTGAGAAAGTCTTGCTGTCTGCAGTGTGCAGCGGTGAATCTTCTATCAGTTGCCAAGTCCAAGTAGCCACCGTAGCCTGTTCTTTCAACATGGCCGCATTTACAGATCCATCTGGCCCAGGTCCACGCTATCAAAGCCATCTCTTTGGGCGAAGAAGGTGCCAAGCCAGAAGCCTTTCGACTTGTCTACCCTGCACGTCCCCTACGCGGCTGAGCAGTTCAATCAACCGGCCGCGCATGAAAAGCCAGAGGGGTTAGAGGAGATTCGGGAGCCAGAGGAGCCAGAGGCGCTGGAGGAGCCAGAGGATGCGCCGACGAGCAGGAAGAAGCGCTGCGCGCGGCAGAGCCTCCAGTCAGCCGGGCAGCCTCTCACCCTTCAGGATGTGCGTTCCATGGACTTCGGCTATGGGGAAGGTGGGAAATCTGTCCAGCAATCTTTGCACGCCAAGCACTTGACCGACAGGTACGTGATGAAGATGACCTTGCTGAATGGAACCCAAAGGTATCCTGCAAGCAGGCATGCGACAAGCTCCGCATCTCTCGTGGCACGTGCCGCAAGGCTTTGCCAAAGACCAATTGGGTGGCAGTCATGAGAAGCGAGTGCAGCATGTGCCCTGTGATCGCACTTTGTTGGAGATGAGTTGCACCTGCAAAGCATTCCGCAAGACCCAACCCTGCGGCTCGAATACCACAATCATCTCATGAACGTGTGTGGCCTTACTCTCCGGGAGTTGGTGGCGGCAATGGCCCAGGCAGGCTGCTGCCAAGCCCGCCGCCGCAAAGCGAAAGCGGGGAGGGGAAAATTGACCAGGTGGCACGGCAACAGGAAGCACCACGCCCGTGACAAAGAGAGCGCGTGCGGGGTCCGATGTTTGTTCTCAACTCTAAAGCCCCCAGACCACTCTTTCGCAGGACTTGCCGTGGTCCGTCGCCGACCGTCACCGACTACGACCAGATGGGGGCATCGACCTTGGAATTTCAGAAGGTTCTGTGAGCGAAGACTTACGGAATGAATACTTCAGCCGTGCCGGACAAGCACGTCAGAAGCAAAGAAAGACAAATCGGACTGAGGAAGTCGCCGCTGAGCGCGAAGCTTTTCCAGCTTTGTTTCTTCCAGATTCTTCCCACGCAGACCTAGGGGCGGTCTCCTGCGCCACGCACAAGGAAGATTCTTCCCAGCTGATGTTGACCAAGACGGCCGGGGTGCTCTGCGTTTGTCTATCTTCAGGTATCATCATTCTCATGCAGGAGATCTACGGCAGCGAGTCTCTTTCTCAGCGGTATTTCTGCCTGGCCGCCGCAAAGGATGCGGTGCCAGAAGCTGTCCTGCTGGTCCACGATGACAGCTGCCACCTCTACAAGTATAGCTTCAACCGCAGGGATGCGCGGCGGGGGCCTAACTGGATAGCAAATCGAGCGCCGCACTTCAAGTTTTGCATCCTGCGTTGGTCTGTTGAGTGCTTGCATGAACTAGCGGCGCAATCTTTCCACGTAATAAATTGTTGACTTTTGGCAGGCATCGGCAGCTGCAGCGGCGATTGCGCCTCCTGCTATGGACTTTGCCATTGACACTGACGCCTTTTGTAAGGAGACCTGCCATCCAGATCTGCCGCACCGTGCTGAGCGGCTTGCGGAGATTCGCACCTCTGTGTGTGAGTTCACGTTCACGTGGCTGTCAGCGTACCGGCATCAGTCCAAGCACATGAACCGGTTCGGCTTTGCGTTCTTTCTCTTAGAGATGGCCTGGTCTCACAATGACCGGGTCTTTCGCAAAGATGCCCCCGTAGACTTCACTGAGATAGCTGCGTGAGAAAAAGCGCAGCCAGCCAACTAGCAGCTTGCTGAGGGATCGATTGAAGGTGCTAGCGCAGGACCTCCGCTTGCTGATGGATCGACGCTCACCTCTGTGTTTTCCTGCCCCCCGCATGAGCCTGCAATCCGCTCTTTGATGCCGCAAAGGTCTCTCCGCCAATGTCCCCATGAAGATGGTGGCCTGGCAGCACAAGAGGATGCGATATCTGCCGGTGCCACTCGAACACACATGCGTACAACAAGTGAACAAATCGCAATGTTTCAAGATATACAGGCGCCAAGTAGTTGATCGGACCATTGGATCATCAGATAGACCATCGGACAAGCAGATCATCGGACCACAGGATCATCGGACCAGCAGATCCGCGGATCAGCGGACCAGCGGACCAGCGGACCAGCGGATCATCGGATCATCGGATCAGCGGAGGACCAGCGGACCAGAGGATCAGAGGATCAGCGGACCAGCGGATCAGCGGACCAGCCATCGGATCATCGGATCAGACAGCCCAGCGATCATAAGTCTTATTATTAGGGGGAAGGGATTAGAGGATACCATCCGGTCGTAAGGAAAATTGGGGCGAGAATTATGTAAAGCATAAGCAGGAAGACTTATATACAACACCTGCTGAATAGATTTGTGAAAGCTTGGTGAGTTTGACGGATTAAGGAATTTGAGCTTGGTGTTGGTGTTGAAACTTGAAATTTGTAGGTTCGTCCAACGACAAAAGAGTAAACATCATGAAATTTCAAATTTGAAAGTAATGAATTCAACGGGGAAGATCCACAGTTTACAAAATAGAAAAACACCAGAATTTATATAGATATGCTTGAAAACTCTTGCCAACCGCCAAATAGGGCAGGACAAATTGGCGAGAGTTCCCCCGTTTTGTATTATATGAACAAAAGAAAAAGCCCTTGAACTTCAACGGTTCCACCAAAGAGGGAAAGAGATTCCACCAAAGGGGGAAAGAGGTTGCAGCAAAGGAGGACGCCCTTTTAAGAAAGTGATAAAACTGTTTCCACCAAAGGGGGAAAGAGGTTCCACCAAAGGGGGGAGGGCAGACGACGGCGTTTCGTTTTTGTTTAGGTGTTTTGTAAAAGTCTATTGTATTGTCAATTGTTTGGTGTTTTGTGGTTTGTTGTTTGGTGATTATTTTCAGGACAGGTGGCTTACCCAGACCTTGATAATGTTGTAGTTTAAAACTATTTAAAGGGATGAGGGTATTACAAAATAGAGGTTATGGAAAAGAAATATTTTCAGGTTGTCAGAGTCATAGGAAATTATAAGAATTGTGAAAGATGCCGTGAAAAGTGTAGGAGGAAACAACAAGTAATGTATCATTGTGATGTATGTAATTGTGATATTAGGAAAACGGGTAAGGCGAGACACGAATTTATTTACAGGCGCGAGGAACATTTAAGAAAGAAAGGGGTTAAGGATGTTTGAGATGATTTAAGTTATTCTATAGGATGAGTAACTTGACACATTTTATATAGATTTTGGCGGGCGGTTTGACTATATGCTGGCGCGGCGCGCGGCTTTAGCAAATGATAAGGTTCGGGAAAGCTACTGCTTGCTCCTTAACCCTCCCCGGAGCACTAGAGGACTACCCCGACACGGGAAAACCACACTAGGTGCACCTACAAACAAATTGTTTAGAGAAATTGAATTTGGCCGGAGAGGCGCGCAGGGCTATCCAGGCTGAAACGAGAGCACGGGGCGCAATCGTTTCTGGCCGGCCGTAATTTGCTCTGGCCATCCCTGGCCATCCAAACAAATCGTCCCGCCACTTTGCAAGGCGGTCCTTCGATCAACAATTCACATACGGCAAGCTGTTTGGGGGAAAGCGTGTTGCGCTGCTGGCTTAGAAAAAAGCGATGCGTCTGGTCCCCGGCAAAACCTCAGCCAAATGCCAACATTCACTTTCTTTCCGGCATTTGTTGCAGATTCTGGTTCCCGCTGGTCCCCTTGCTGGATTTTGAGTTCTTTCACTGGTACCGGTTCCTACCCCGGATTCCGGCTCTTACCCCCGATTCCGGCTCCTGCCCCGGATTCCGGCTCCTGCCCCGGATTCAGGTGCCTGTACTACGGTTTCTGGTTCATCCGGCTCCTACCCGGATTGCGGTTCTTACGCCGGATTCCGATTCTTACCCCGGATTCCGGTTCCTACCGGTTCCTACTGGTTCCTACCCTTGATTCCGGCTCTTACCCCGAATGCTGGTGCCTACTTACCATGGAGTCCCCGGATTCCAGTTCCATCCCCGGATTCTGGTTCCTACCCCGGATTTCGGTTCGCCCTCACCTTCCAAGAGAATCCGCACTCAAGAAGAACTTGGTTTGTGCCACTCCCTGACTCCTTGCCCGTCTCTGCATCACTTAGCAAGAACTAAATTGGCTTCCAATCTGGTGCTCTGCACCTGCGAAAGAGTAACTCCGGAACTCCTCTCGCACGCCACTTCTTTATTGCCAGATTTACGGTACAGAAAAGAACCCGACCTTGTCGGCTTGCCCCCTTGCACTCCTTCTAACTCCTTGTAACTGCTTCTACGCCTTTTTCTCGCCTTTGACATTTTCGTTGCGCAGGCCAATGTCTTCCAGGAGCAGCGCAAGTGCCAACTGTGCCCAAGTCTTAGCTGTTCTCTCCAGGACCACGAGATCCATTATATGCTGCGACTCTTTGAGCACATGACGCGACTGGCCGATTTCGCAGAAGGTGTTCCCATGAGCGCTTCTGGCATTCTTGGGCATGAGCACTCCGGCCCGAGTTTGCTCGCCAGCTCGGAAACGGCAGGCTACTTCTTGACGGGCCTGACTTTGGTTAGCGTGATGCCAAAGAGCGACAAACTTGAGCTGATCTTTGAGGCACGGGCTGACGCGCTGACGTGAGCTTGCATCGTTCTCAACCTTTGGCAGGCCTTTGACAACGACTACGACCATTGCCTATTGTACAAGCAGGCTCTCATGGTTGCTCACTTACCCATGTTGCAAGAGCCCGAATGGCCAGATTCATGAGATGTGCCACTGCATCTGCGTGCTGAAAGTTCTGAGCCCAGGTGTTGCTTTGTGGTTTCGGTTATGTCGCAATCGACACGGCACGTGTGTTAAGGTGATGGTGGAGGACGGCTTTCCTTTCGCCGCTGTGCTCATTTGCAACCCATGAGTTTGCATTGCTACTTCTTTCAAGGAGAGTGCCCGCGGTGCATCTGACGAGCACTTTCAAGCAGAGTTGTCTCAGCAGGCACGTGGTAAATATGAGCGAGCTGCTGCAGTTGGCCACTGCCAATGTAACAAAAGCCGCTGCAAATCAAAGGTCACGCTCAGAGCTGCATGCGAGGAGGGACAACGAAGCTACGAGTGCATCCGCTGGCATTTGCAGCGCACCTGCAATGTGCAGGGAGACATTGCCAGAGGCTGAGATTGCCAGGTTTCAGTTTTGGGGCATTTCGATCGACTGAATTCTGATTGGTTCTTGCAAATCTTGCCATCTCGCTGAATTGTCCATCAGGTGAGCTTCCCAGAGCTCTCCGCAGCTTGGGAGATGCAGCCGGGCCAGGCTCTCCCAGGAGCGCAGTCAAAGTTTCTTCCCACAAAGTGGCACGGGTGCCTTTTTCCGTTTTTCCCGTAGGTTGGGTCCAGATCCGGTGGGTGGCCAAGGCCGTGCCACGGGGTCGGCCGATCGGTTCGGGTCCGGGCGACTTCGGGCACTTGGGGCCACCTCCGGCTCGGCGCGCGTCGGCGAGTCGTCGAGTCGGCGAGTCGGCGAGGCCATCCCCGGCTTCGAGGCCTGGGCATCCCAGGCGCTGAGCCGCCGCCTCAGCTCGAAGCTTTCGAACGCGGCATATGCGACTCGTCTCGACGTCTCGACTTCAGCCGACATTCGACAATTTCCATCGTTTCTCCGGAGCTCACGACCTTTTCCGTTTCTCGACTTCTCTTGACCTCGTCTCCGACCTCGAGATCTTTTGCATCCGAATTTCTCGGATCTCTCGGTTGTCGACGTCGTTATTTCTTCCGTTTTCGCACGTAGCTTTCAGCTTTCGCCTAAGACTTCGCATGTCTTGGATTTTTGGAAGCAACTTGAAGCCGGGGAGTTCCGCAATTTTTAGCGCAGTTCGAGACGTCAGCCGCAGTTTTCGAAGCCGATCCGAGGCACTTGCGGCCAGACCAGGACGGACAGACTTGCGCCGGCTCACTGTTTGCATATGCTGCATATGTTGCATATGCTGCATATGTTGCATATGTTGCATATGTTGCATGTGTTGCATGTGTTGCATCGCAGTCTGCTGGAGCCGCCTGTGAAAGGCCATTGCTTCATTGCTTTCCTGGAAAGCCAGGCTTTCGCATTTCCCTTTTTCTCTTGCGACGCGAGGTGTGGTTGCACGACATGCCCAAGGCGAGCTTCGTGCCTTGTGCAGAACTTGTGCATCTTGAGAGAATCCGAAGGCGAGTCCTACATCTTCAAGGACGTGCTCACCACGAGGCGAAGCGAGCTCCCGTTGCGCGTGTTTCAGAGGTTTGAGAGCCTCGGGCGCGTCAGGTTCGCGAAGTCGCTGCGGGACCTGGGCTCCCGGCGCTTGGCCCGGCACTCAAATTAAAGACGAAAGACGTCGAGGCACTTTTCTCTCTAGCTGACTCTAGCTGCCTTGCAGGTGGAACTGACGCGGCAGTTCGGTGATGGCAGCCTGCCCCGGAGTGACATTCAATTTTAATCCCCAAGCATCGAAACTCGGAGCGCACACAGCGTGTTCAGAATTTCAGGCAAGAGCAAAGCGGCAATGCCCAGCGTGGGGCAGTCTGGGGCGATGCCGGGCGTGTCGGCCATGGTTCTGGTGCAGGACTCAGCAACTAAGGCATTATGTTGAGGCCCAAAGACTATCAGGGACTGTGAGGGACTGTGAGGGACTGTGAGGGACTGTGAGGGACTCACGGCTAAGGACTGCGAAACGCAGGCTTGTGATAGCGGTTCTCATACATGGTTCGAAAGCCTTGGCTCTTTCCAGTTGTGAGGGTCTCGGCTCAAGCTCTGCCAAGCCATGGATCCTTGGCGAACGGCGGTTTTGCGTGCTTCGGAGCGGACATCCCTGTTGGAGATGGGCCAGGATGGCGAAAGCATGGCACGAAAGCTGGTAACAGCAAGAGAAAGAAAGGCGAGAGAAATGGCACAACTTGCCAGGAGGCTGCCACGGCATTGAGGGCTGCGGCACAGACCTTGAGCCTCTGACTCAGCTGAGCGAGGTTTGTGGTGCTTTCTCTGAAGCTTTGTGGTGCCTTGTGCTTTGTGCATCAGTGCTTAGGTGTCTTTGAAAGCACCACTGCGGGCCTCCTCCAGGTGCCCGAGTCCCCAAGTCCCCGAGTCCCTGAGTCCCCGAGCTCCTGCGCCCCCGAGCGTTGGCGGAGTGAACTTCAGGCCAGCCTTCAGGCTGTTCCAGGAGAGAGAGCGAGAGAACTTGTGAACCGTTGTGAACTCGCGAGAGGAGCATCTGCCTTCACGACTTGTGGAGCCGTGACCTACAGCAAGCAGAAGGAGAGGGTATAGAGGGTAAGGATAGGGACGAACGACGGAATGACGCTAGCGTACCTGGCGATGCCTTTGAGGCACATGCGGTGCTGGGTGACATGGTGCCAGCCATGCGACCGACCAACGTGACCAACGGACAAGAGTACAAGGCCATCGACGCGATCGACGCGATCGACGCGATCGACGCGATCGACGCGATCGATGCGATCGATGCGATCGATGTGCGGTTCGCGGCGATTGGCGATCGATGTGATTCAAGCTGCATCCAAGCCGTGTGAGGAGTCTAAGAGGGTCTGGACGCAGCAGATTGCCAGGCACAAGCGACATGAGGTGAGATGGACAGAGAGTTGCGCGTTGCCAAATTTGGGCCAGCCTGCACATGCCTTGTGGAATTTCCTGTGGTGCATGTCGTGTGCCATGGCAGGTGGGGTCCACTTGGTGCCTTTGTGAGAGCGGGGCTTGTGGTCCAAGCTTCACGTTCCCCGAGATAAACACAGGCAGGGGACGAGATTCAAGACACAGTCAAGACAATTCAGGACACACTTTAGACATCGTTAGACATTCAAGATATATCACGTGATATCGCATGATGCTTGCGCATGAGAGAGAGAGCCGCATGGAGGCTTCTCGGCCATCTACGTTGCTGGGCCGATTGAGCGCGGGCTCTTTGTGGAGTCCAGCCACAATGAGAGAGAGGCAAACATGCGCCTCGCCATTCCAGAAGTTCGCATGACATGTGTGACATGTGTGACATGTGTGACATGTGTGACATGTGTGACGTGTGTGACGTGTGTGACGTGTTTGACCTGTGTGACGTGTGTGACCTGTGTGACCTGTGTGACCTGTGTGACATGTGTGACCTGTGTGACATGTGTGACATGTGTGACATGTGTGACATGTGTGACATGTGTGACGTGTCTGACGTGTGTGACGTGTGTGACGTGTTTGACCTGTGTGACGTGTGTGACCTGTGTGACCTGTGTGACCTGTGTGACATGTGTGACCTGTGTGACATGTGTGACATGTGTGACATGTGTGACATGTGTGACATGTGTGACGTGTCTGACGTGTGTGACGTGTGTGACGTGTGTGACGTGTTTGACCTGCTATATGGGTTCGTTACCAGTTATAAGTCATGGTTGCAGCAGTTGATTCAGTTGGTCACCAGTTGCATCAGTTGCTAACTGGGATAACTGCTTTAGTGCTGACGAGCTGCGTGAAATTCAAAACAGTTAAAACAGTTAAAACAGTTAAAACAGTTATTTTTAAGGGTTGAAAGCAGTTAAAGCAGTTAAAACAGTTATATTTTTTAGTGATTTCCTAGCTTTTGCAAGCCAACAGTTGTAGAATACATAATGTTGTGCAATTATTGATATATTTGCACAGATAACCGCTAAATAACATTGAAACCTTGTATACACGTATAGAAATTATGAGACTTGGATGTTTGCAGGCGGCAGTGCCGCTCGAGCCATTCCACGAGTTTAGACACCAGGGAGATTTTTCACCAGCTACTGCTGCTCACCTACTGCCTTTGTGTCCTGCCATACCACGAGTTTAGACCAGGGAAATTTCTCACCAGCTACTGCTGCTCACCGACTGCCTTTGTGTCCTGCCATCCCACGAGTTTTGGCCAGGGAGATTTCTCAACAGCTACTGCTGCTCCACCTACTGCCTTTCAAATTTGCATCCTGCCATCCCACCAGTTTAGACCAAACAGATTTCCCACCAGCTACTGCTGCTCACCTACTGCGTTTGAAATTTGTATCCTGCCACCCCACCAGCTTAGACCAGGGATATTTCCCACCAGCTACTGCTGCTCACCTACTGCCTTTCAAAATTATATCCTGCCATCCAACCAGTTTAGGCCAAACAGACTTCCCGCCAGCTACTGGCCCTCACCTACTGCAGGTGAAATTTGTATCCTGCCATCCCACCAGTTTAGACCAGGGAGATTTCTTGCCAGCTACTGCTGCTCACCTACTGCATTTCAAATTTGCATCCTGCCATCCCACCAGGCAAATTTCTCACCAGCTACTGCTGCTCACCTGTTGCCTTTTGAAGTTTGTATCCTCTCCAGCTACTGCTGCTCACCTACTGCCTTTGAAATTTGTATCCTGCCATCCCACCAGTTTAGACCAGGGAGATTTCCCACCAGCTACTGCTGCTCACCTACTGCCTTTGAAATTTGTACCCTGTTATCCCACCAGTTTAGACCAGGGAGATGTCCCACCAGTACTGCTGCTCACCTACTGCCTTGGAAATTTGTATCCTGCCTTCCCACCAGTTTAGACCAGGGAGATTTCCCACCAGCTACTGCTGCTCAACTACTGCTGTTGAAATTTGCATCCTGCCATCCCACCAGTTTAGACCAAACAGCCTTTCCACCAGCTACTGCTGCTCACCTACTGCCTCTGAAATTTGTATCCTGTCATCCCACAAGTTTGGACCAGGCAGATTCTCTTACCAGCTGCTGCTGCTCATCTATTCCCTTTGTACCCTGCCATCCCACAAGTTTAGGCCTCACCAGCTACTGCTGCTCATCTGCCCCTTGTCCGAAATTTTCGGCAACAAAAATGGAACTTTGAGCCCCGAAAAAAAACCCACGACACGCCACGACACACCACGACACTTTCAGAAAACTGGCCCGGATCACAGCTAGAGGGATGTGTCTTAGAGGAAAAGTAGTAGCGACACACCCACGACACACCACGAAAAGCGCGCGGCCCAGAAAACCCACGACACGCCACGACACACCACGACACAGTTTGTATTTTTCAGAATTTGTGTGATGTGTCGTGGTGTGTCGTGGTGTGTCGTGGGCTTTCTGGTCTTCATGGCCCTTTGCAGACAAGCCTGTGTGTCGCTGCTACTACTTTTCCTCTAAGAGACATCTCTCTAGCTACGATCCGGGCCAGTTTTGTGGCGTGTCGTGGGTTTTTTCGAGACTCAAAGTTCCATGTTTTTTGCCGAAACTTTCGGACAGGGTGCAGATGAGCAGAAGTAGCTGGTGAGAAATCTGCCTGGCCAAAACTTGTGGAATGGCAGGGTACAAAGGGAGTAAATGAGCAGCAGCAGCTGGTAAGAGAATCTGCCTGGTCCAAACTTGTGGGATGACAGGATACAAATTTCAGAGGCAGTAGGTGAGCAGCAGTAGCTGGTGAGAAATTTTCGTGGTCTAAACTCGTGGGATGGCAGGACACAAAGGCGGCAGGTGAGCAGCAGTAGCTGGTGGGAAATCTGTTTGGTGTAAAAAATCTGGTGGGATGGCAGGCTACGAATTTCAAAGGCAGTAGGTGAGCAGCAGTAGCTGGTGGGGAATCTCCCTGGTCTAAACTGAGCGCCGGGGCCAAGCTGCGCGTTGCGAAAATGGCGACCACGTCGCACGTGACGGTCTGCAAAAGCGATGTTCTCATCGAGCTCGACGCAGCACGGGCCTTTCTTGTGGAGACCTGCTTCGCGTGTGATGCTGAGCTCTTGCTTCTGGTGAAGGAGTTGCGGCTGGACGCTTGGACTGGTGTATGTGCATGTCTCCTTTTCCTTGCCCGCTTGTTCCTCGCTCGCTCGCTGCGGCCAGTCGCCGCGTGTTTTCGTTCGCTCGTCGTGGCAGGCTGCTGCTCATTTTGTCTGCGGCAAGGCCGCATGTGTTTTCACGTTTTCGTTCCCTCGTTTGCGCAGGGCGCCGCTCGTTTTGTCTGCGGCGAGGCCGCGTGCTTCGCACGTTTTCGCTCCCTCGTTGCGGCAGGGTGCCGCGTGTGTTTTGTTTGCGGCGAGGGCGCGTGCTTCCGGAGTCGACTGCGCGCGGCGAGCTTGCTTCGTGGTGGACGCTGGCTTCCTCGCAGCTGCGGGTGGTGCGGCCGCCGCGCAAGGCGCCCAAAGTGGTGGCTGTGGGAGTCGAGTGACCGGGCGCTATGCTTGCAGTGAAAAATATGACTTCTTAATACATCATGCGGCGATGCCGCGTGCAATCGACAAAGGTACTTCTATATCAGATATATGTAAATTATATATTGAATAATCTCCAAATCCACTCAATTTTCGGAAAGAACTAGCCTTTTTTTGCACGCTCCTGGCTCTGAACACTTAAACACGCAGTTTGGTCTCATAAAGTTACAACCAGTTATCTCCAGTTAGCTAAAACAGTTAAAACAGTTAAAACAGTTAGTTTTTCGCTTTCATCCGTCTCAAAAAATAACTGTTTTAACTGTTTTAACTGTCCACATAACTGGTATAACTGCGTGAACTTCTATAACTGCAAACGAACCCATATAGTGTGTGACGTGTGTGACCTGTGTGGCCTGTGTGACATGTGTGACCTGTGCGACCTGTGCGACATGTGTGACATGTGTGACATGTGTGACGTGTGTGACGTGTGTGACGTGTGTGACGTGTTTGACCTGTGTGACGTGTGTGACCTGTGTGACCTGTGTG